AATAATTGAAGTCACGTTTGGTGTAAGAATCAAGATAGTGATATGGGAGAGTAAAAAAGCATTAAATCAATCTATAACTTTCTTGATCTCACCATGAATATCATGGCTTCCTGCATTAGTCATAAAAATATAAATCTTTCTATTTTGCAATGCCATTCTTCGGTTCTCACTCTTCACTCAATGTGTAAAATCATCATCATTCATCCAGGCTGAACTGTTAGAATAATAATGTAATATATCATTTAAATCAAACTTCCGAGAAAAGCATCTGAGACGCGCCGATTTGTGAATGAAAACAAGCTTCAATCGCTCCTTTCCTTAGATGTTAATGCAAAGCCCCAATGTCACACGATCCTTCTTCTTCTTATTTCTTTTTGCCTTTCCAAAATTCAAAGTCTTGCTAGGAGGAGCTCTGTAATTCAAACCTGTCTCATCAAAATTGAAGATGTCTTTTGGATCATATTTCTTCAATATGAATGGCATCTTTGCCATGGCCAATGCAACTCCAACCTCATCTGCAATTCCACTTTCTTGATGCAAATAATAACACTTAATTTAATGTTGAGTTTTGCATTTTTGCAACCATCCATGAGAAAGCTTGAACTCAGTGTCGCATAAGCCAAATGAATCCCTCAATTCCATAGCCTTGGGCATAATGACGTCATTAGTTACAACTCTCCTTTGTGCCATGACTTGTCCAAACCATGAAACCAAAGCTTTTTCAAGCTTAGGCCATTTTTCAACTAGAGCACGTCGCACATTGCCTTCACGCACAGATATATCCACACTCAGCCACTTCTCTTTTCCACAAAGAATCTTGGAAATAGTGGTCCGATCCACAAGCCTGAATTTATGTTGATCCACTATAAACTGTGCGAGCTCTTCCTGTTTCAAACTAGGATGAGCTTTGTGGACTTCACAGATTTTTTCTTTATCAGAAAGAGATAAATCCACCCTTTTGCGCATGGATTTACTTACCATTGGAAGTACTTGTATCTACAAATGAAATTGGTCGTATACTAAGAGATGTGAGTAATCTTACATCATTGGGGAGCTAAACATGTAAAAAGTATCAAATGATGGGCTTATATGGATTTCAAAATGACCGAACACGTTTTGAGGACTTAAAGATAAGGCATGCAAACAACTATTTAGAAGAGCAAATATTTCCAAGGAACAAACGAACGAATATTTATGCCAGACTAACTCCTTAAGGTAGTGCAAAAGGAACAACAGACTGATTACAAGTGTCATTTTATTCGATAAAGACGCTGCAGGAAATGGCTCGGAGACATCTATGCAAACACATGGTATCTGAAAAGATGAAACAAAATCGCAGCAGAGATATTGAAAAATATTCAGAAGGTGTCACGTGCATGAATGATCAATATTCATTCATCAAACGAGCTCCAAAAGCCTTTGCCACTCCAGCCAGGATTACGTCACAATGCATCGTGCCGACCCCCGATCATAATTACCAGCCAGCTTCATCAGTTAGTTCTTAGTAGAAATCATCCGCACCTGGCAGTATTGCTGGACTAGACTCCTTTTCTCAACTCGTAGACAAAAGCTTAAAAAACCGTCACAAGATATAATCTATGTACTGTCAGAAGAAAAAGTATGCCTTTAAAAAGTTGAGATGAGCAGCAGATGACTCTAAAAAAGTTGAACATTGACTCAAGAATGACAAAGATACATGTTTTCATGTGCTAGTGGAGATGTCTCGTAAGCTCTCAAGAAGAATTCACAAGTAGAAAATGCAACGAAGTCTTGTGCTATTCAGAAATTTATCTATGCTGAATTCCATAATGCTCAGGAATCACAACATAATAAGGGGATTGTCGTAGAGACTTTTTTAAATATTTGCATGCCAATGCCTTGACAATATAGACCTCCCTCCCACCCTTGTTGATTGATGCTAGTAATATGAGCCTGTACAGACAAATACAAATATCAGGGTAAATAAGAAGACTGGCTAAACCTTCAGCCACGACATATCTCTTCCTTGAATTTTAATAGAGAGCTCAAATCTATTGTTAAAATTAGAATATAATAGTTGTAAAAAAGAAAAAAGCTTGACAAAAGCTATGCCTCGCAAATTCTAGTCATGAAATGTATTGACAATCTTATTAAGTACTCATTATGTCACAATCACTTGCACGGTGCTCAACTTCCTCAGAGATCGCATCAATCTGTATTTTGCAGAAGTTAGTGAGATGATTCCTAATGAGTCATCTTGAGGCAATACAATACGGCTCCCTTTGCACTGCTTATCTAAATAGGAGAACTAACAACATCGAGCGGATATGGACGGCGGTAATTTCTTGTTCATGATCATGAAGTAAGAATGTCAAAGATTTATATTTATACTCTATCGGTTTGATAAACTTCACAACACTATATTGACATGAAACTCCATATGAACATAGTCATCTTGTGCACAATACATGAAACTGGTTGTGTACTAAGAGATGTGAGTAATCTTACATTATTGGGGAGCATTGCTGGACGAGTAACTGTCTAACCAATGGAGTACAGCTCCTTACTCAAATGCATTTTCAGTATGTCATCTACATCAACTCTTCTGCATCATTCGCTCCGGAACACGTTGTCAAAACTAAATTCCTACCATTTAGTAAAACCATTGACCGTTGAACAATATCACTCGTTGCAGCACAACAGACGATGCATTATCCTGATGTATGGGACATAGTGACTTATCCTTGACATAGTGAATTCTGAGAACTTACTATTCTGCAGATATCGAGTTGCTTCGATATCTGCAGAATAGTAAGTTCTCAGAATTCAAGAAATATAAACACACACATGATATCTCAGTGTTATATTAACATCCTTGTTCCAGGTACGTGTCTCTACTAGACGTTATCAAAGTACATGAAAGTCTATTTTATCATTTGATATGTACCAATGCTAGAACAACCAGTTCAAACGAAGTCTTAACAAAACAGAAGTAAACATAAACTTACAGTATCTCATCATCAATAACCAAAATTGCAGCTGCAAATAACCCATTCATGCCGGTAAGCCCATTGATGTCTCCGTTTTCTCAAAGACTATCTATTCTTTTAACTTTTACAATAGCAAAGTTCTTCAGCCTTCCAGCCCTCTCTAGACGTCCATCTCGAAGCATATATGTAGGCCAAAATTTCCTATCCGGTGCTGGCAGTTTCTTCTCCTCAGCCGCACCAGCAGAGTTTACATCACTACTTGAATCATTGATGCACAAGGCGGCATTGAGAAGAGTGATTTTGATGCTGGAGGTGCATGTCCGCTCAAGTTGGCCTTCTTGTTGCTCCGACTGCAAGTGACGGGAGTGAAGCAAGTTCGAACATTGAGGATCGAAGCAAGCGCCGTAAAAAACTCCGCCTTAATTGTGTGTAAGATCGAAGGTTGGTGCAAGGGGGCGTCTCATCATCATGTGAATAGCATTTCATTTATCACAGGGACGGCTCATGAACTTTTTGCTACTATACAGTCCATCCATACTTGATATTATTACACTTACATTAAAGATTTTGGAAAAAAGTAGTGACATTATCAAGGTGATAATAACGAGGGAGTTTTACGCAGTAAAATCGGTTTCAAACGTTTAGGTGACAATATCGAGGTGAATTATTAACAAGGGTGACATTATCGAGGTTAGGGTGTACAGCTATTGTCTATGTCTCAATGTTTATTTGAAAGATTTTGTATTTAATTGAAAGAAACGTCACATGATATCTGTTCTCACTATTTTGCTCGTTATATACTATCACCGCGAAATCTTTTAATTGACTAGTATTTTTTGAAATAATAAAAATTAATCAAAGTATCATAAGCAGCCTCATCTACCAGCTGCTCTGCATAGTCATCGCACTAGTTAGTATCCTAGACATATAAATTGGAACATTTTGTACATATTAGGTTACAAATATATATTATTAGCTATTGTTGAACTATTCACCGCTAATCTTGTTGTATGAGATAGCATTTACCTCAAAACTATGTCAGAAGAGTGCGATACTCTCGACATCAAAATAACTTTAACTTAATCATTGCGAGGGCTGTGAGGCTGACTGTATGGAAATAAATAAGTAATTAAGTATGTATATGTTTATGGCAAAGTCCACACAAGGGTAAATACCTTCAATTGATGTCTGTGAGAAGAGGCGAGCTTTTGTAGAAAGGTTGGTTCCTTTCACAGTGGTCGAGACTTGGCGATGTGATTGCACAGAGGTTGTGATGGTTTCCGGCTGGAAAAAACTTGACAAATGTTTTTTCCACGTGGTCACACGCTTTCAGAAGGGTACGAGGTATTATCAACGGCCTGCTAGTCACGGACGATCTGACAAAACAAGTATGTTTTACATCACTCTAGGATCATGTATGCGGGGCGAATTCCTTTCGAGAAGATGTGCGTACAGTTTGGGGCGAAAAGGTTGCAATCTTCTAGCTCGGAAAAGCCATACGACCTTGAATATATCGTCTATTCGACCGACAAAATTCATTGTTACTGGACAAGAAAACTGTTACTCTGACTAAAGTTTCGATATGAGTTTGCGTTATTTCTTTGGTTAAAGATAAATCCTATAAACCATCCCGTTAAGCGCAGGGTCAGGCTTCATACTTGCGTCCATTCTAGCTCACGTGTGATGGTAAGACTAGAGGTATATCCTTTGCGAAGACATTTGTCGCTGAAATCCGGCATGTACATGCGCAAATCTATCAATGTTAACTAGATACAGAATCGGTTTGCTTTACGTCTGTGTCATAAAGTGCTTCATCTGATAGAGAGCATCCTCCGACATACTAGTACGTACGACAGGAGAGAAAAACATGCTACTTGACTAGAACATGTAGATGAAGCCAGGACAGTCGAACCCCTCTGTGAAGACACCACTTTCTCAAAACGATTCAGAGTGCCGCGTACTGACCACACTTTTACAATTCACATCGAAACTGCCTATCGTGCGAAACAGAGTCAAAGATGTAGATCAAGCACTTTTACTAACCTTCCCGAATAGTTGTACAATCTCTATTCGATCTCCATCGATCGACATATCTCACAAGAAAATAAGGGACAGAAACTACGTTACAATGTCCATGATCTATCCACGACTGTACACGTAAATCCCAGCTTCCTCTCTACCGTAACACAGGAAAGAAAACTTACGATCCAACTGCGGTTTAAGGCCTTTCTCTCTCTTGACGGCTGGTAACTCGCCCCTAAAGCCTACGACCGGTGTACATATCCTTCCAGTGCAAGGAGCTCCAATTCTTCGAAACCAAAAGTATGGCACGTAAGTTGCGTCGAAGATTCCACAGCTATTAATCTGAGCTTTGCACTCGTACGCCAAGATAGTAGAAAATACAGAGCAGAACTGAGACGGGTGGAAAACAAAGTACACTAACTTCAGAGACCGACTCGGGGTAGGAGTGAAAACGCATGTCTACAACCCCTTCACGTCGTGCGCTTTGCAGAAACAGGATCGAGGAGGCGTACGATGAAGTCGGCCACCTCGAATTCTTGACGGAGACAAGTGTGGTATGTACATTTGTGGCGCGCGGACTCGGTCCGTCGCGTAGGTTCGGTTCGGCTCCCCGACAGTCGTGGATCTGCTACCGGCGTGTAGGGGTAGAATCGGAGATCAGGGACACCGCTCATGCTCATCAGAGACTGCTGAAATTGGTCCTCCCGCAGTCATGGCAGCTGTGAAGTGTCCGCGGAACATTGTCTCACCACTTTCCTGACCGTGTTGATGAACTGCCATTCGTCAGTGCCCGCTACGAGATGGTCGGTCGCAGATACCGAGCCGACCAGTCCTTCCCTAGAGAAATCCGAGAGATTCCTGCCCGCTCACAGGTCCTCGGAATTCCGCCTCGAGGGCGAAACTTTGGCTGCGTTCCTCAGTCTCTCCAGATGCTCTCGTTGGAATCTGCTCGGAGCCAGCGAGTACCGCCTCGGCCGAATACAAAATACAACATACGGTGGTTGCGATGCTCCTGCGGCCATTCCAGTCACAGCATGCACATCAGAAACAGGCAGCTAGCTTCACGATCTCCCGGACTCGCCTACACCTCCGAAACTACACGAGGAAGCTGACAGATGGCCATTACGACCATGGGAGATGTAAAGGATGTTTCCCCCCACTCCACTGCACCCCCCGAACCAATCTACAGCTTCTCAACGACAGCGATGTGCGCAGCTTTCGTGTCGGTACGAGAGAGAAGCTTCGATAGTTCGGCTGCCAGTAGACGGAGGTGCAAAATTTTATGCTACCCTTCGGCTGTCCGACAACGCTACAGAAAGAGAGGCGAGTCCATTTCTACTCACCGCCATATTTCCTCAGGTACGAGTCGTCTTCCTCCATGCCCAAGTCGTCGTCGTCGTCTTCCTCTTCGTCGTCAAAATTGTTCGGAGACGTAGGCTGCTCTCGGGAGATCGGTGACAGGCTTCGCGTGGGGCTCGCGCCCGTCGTGTTCGCCGTCTCCGTCATGTGTATCCTCTCGTCGTAGACGGATGTGTCCTCGAGACCGAAGGGGCACGCTTCTTCGGACCGCGCGAGGGTCACGGGGGGGGACATGGGGCTCGACGACAGAAGTTCCCTCCCAGGAGTCCTCCTCGGACTCAGCTTCGAGGCGGCGCCGCCAGATTTCGAGTCGTCCTGAGTCGGTGCATCTTTCTTAAACCTGACCAGCGTCACTGACCGCTTTCGCTTCGAGAAGAGCTTGTAACCTCTGGGCCTGTGATTCTGAACACGATGGCATCGCAAGAGTGACAACTGTCAGTGTGAAAATTGCGTCCTTGGTGATCACAGAGCTCTCACCCAAATACGGCTCGTTCTTCAATCATCTTCTCACCGTGAAGGGTCGACGAGCAATCAAAGCGCGCACTTCAGCTGAAGTTCATTTAGTCCACTCAATCAAACGACGTTTAGGCAGTCAGGGTCCATGCTTCTCCCTCTGGTAAGTCTAGAGGCGCAGAGGGCGCGAAACGATCGCATACTGCAGCGCAGGGAAAGTGGCGCATTCCTTAGACCTCTCTACATTGTTCATTTCCGGCAGCCTGTCAAAAATTTCAGCAGAACCCGAGTCTTAATGACAGCCCGGACGATTCCGACTCAGCTCGAGCACGCGCACGAGCAAGAACACGAGGACGAGAAAGTGCTCCGTGTCGAGCTCTGAAATCGGTCGAGCTTCCCGTGTACTTGTTAGTGTGAATTGAGTGCAAGGTGGCCACGGTGAGAATTGGCACAGTGACGGTGAAGGTGAAGCTGGATGAAGGTGACTACAGAAACACGAGCATGCTTCGGGCTCTGTCTAATGTCTCACTAGAAAGCGCAGTGTGTTCTGCAGGGCTGCGTACCCGTGTCTGAGAATGCAGCTATGGACAGAGTGGCTGGGAGGATGCGTAGGGCGATGACGTACCTGTAAGTTGGAGCTCCAGTCCATTCCCTGGATGCAGGATACAGTCCCGGCGCGTTTCCTCCCGAAGAAGTTGGACAGTTTGCGTAAGATGGGAGCGGCGCAGAAGATCTTGCGGTTCGGCTCGCTGGATTCTGCGTCCCGGAACAGAGTTTGAAGGGACCCATCTCGGCACATTCTTCCCTTGCCCCCATCGAAGGTTCGCCTCCTCCTCCTCGGGGCGCAGACGTCGCTCCGACGGCGCTTGTACTCCACCAGCGATTCGGCAGAAGGCTTGTGATTGCCGGTGGTGGAGGGCGAGTCGACCACTTTCAAGGATTGGTGGCTCGTGATAAGTCTGTCGGCTCCTCCTCCTCCTCCTCCTCCAGCTCCCGGCCCTGCTGCTGCTGCTGCTGCTCCCATTCCCATCCCCATTCCCATTCCCCGGCCCTTCTTCTCGAGAAAAGAAGGGGGCGACTTCGCCTGCTTGAAGTCCGCAGTGCAGCTACCAGGCTCCTGCGGATGATGCTCGTTCGACCCGACTTTCAAGCTTCGGCATCTTCGAATTCGCAGGAAAGGACTTTTCAATCTGGCCACGAAAGTGCCCGCCATGGGCGAACGCTCTCTTCCTCCCCCTTTGCGCTCAGACCTTCTCCGAGAGGGGCAGCTGTTCCCGCACTGCGCCGCCGAACATAGTGTTCACGGCTCGATCGACATAACACTCAGAACCGGCCCGAATCGAGCAGGGGCTTACTGCCAAAGGCTGCTGTGGGCTGCTGCTCCTAATCCTCGCGTTTCCTCCTCCCCATGAAGGCCCTCTTGCTCCTCTCTCCTCGGTCGCCCCCCTCCATGCCGTTCGGCCTGCCTGCGTCCTCCTACCGTGCCACGGGAGCAGTGCAGGGAGTGGAGGACTGGGACTGGCACTCGTCGACGAGCGGCTGCTGCTGGACCTGGAGTCGGAGATGGAGTGTGGCCATCGTATTTCAGCGGACGTGGTAGACGAAGGCCAGGCGAAGCAGGAGCATCGGGGCAGGGTCTGGGGGTTGGGGGCTGGGGGGCTGGGGGGCGAGGGGAATTTCAGCCGACGGCTTATCTATGGAGAAAGAACTTCGAGCTCCGCCATCGGCGCAGCCAGTCGAAGAAGCAGAAGCTATTTTCGGAATCTATCGTCGGAGCCGGTCGAGCTTTTCCAAGTAGCGAGCTCCGATTTGGCTTTGGTCAATCATGGCACGGCCTGGCCACGGCCAGCGCGTGCCTCCACGAAATCTGCGCTGGGCTCAGTCGCGCCTCGCTCTCTGCTGCCTGCTGTTCATTCGTTCGAGTCAGCCTCATGATTCACTTCTGCAGCTAGAGCGCCATGGTGTGTCGCTCTCTAGCTCGCAGCTTCGACGACCTCTGTCGCCCGAACCGTCCCTATCATGCTCCCCAGTCCACTAGTCGGCTCCACTTCCACGACCTCCAGCGCCATCGCCAGAGGACGACGATCCCTCCCCCCGGGGACTGGTGGCTGCGACAGCCGCAGCTTTTCGCGGGGTCGACTCCACGTCACCGGAATCCGCCCCCGGCATTGATGAGCGGCCACTGGTTCGGGGGCTGGCGGACACTGGGCCTCGAAAGGGCCGAGGAGGAAGCTCGGGGTCGCTCCTTCGGGGAACTGAAACTCGCCGCGGCATTAAATTGCGCCTCTTTACTCAAGGTTCCGCTGAAATACTTCCCCGCCCTCGGACCGGCAACGACCACCGTATGCGGTATCGGAGCAGTCGGCCCCACGGCCTGGATCGTACTCCTCGGCGGTCCTTCCGATTTCTCCCGACGACCTGCAGCCGTCGCAGACCGGTCCCTGATCCCGGACCCCTTTCCGGAGATAGTGATAGAGAGAGGATATAGAGAGCGAGGAAGGGTGGTGCCGGTGGATGGATGCCGCCCGAGGATCGCACGGACGGAATTATAAAATATTTATAATATAATTATCATTATTATATAAAACATCTGTGGACAGGCGGACGACGAGACCCACCATTGCGGCTGGTTCGGCGGGCGGGCGCTGGAAAGGGTTTCCTTTTCTGGAATGGGAAATGCTTTCTCTTTCGGGGAGGGGGGAGGGGTCATCAGGATGACGTGGACGGACACTCTGGACACAGGGGCGGACAGGTTTGGGAGAGGCCGCTGAATCGCGTGAGACGAGGGCGGGATAGGGTGCGCGGCCCGTGCGGAGCTGGCGTGTGATGCGACACGGTGGCAGCCGCGGCCGGGCTCATGGTCGTCGTCGTGTCCGCCATCAATGACTTCTGATCCACTTCACTGCAATGCAGCGCTGAGGCGGAGCCGCTGCGGCTGCACTGTTGGGATTCACAGTGACCGGAACCGCCAACCGCGCGTCCCGTTCGCACGCTTGACTCGGGCCCTGGCCTTGACCGCAGCAGGGCCCCTATCCCCATGCTCGTTGCCCTTGGTCATCGCGGGCCCCGACCCTCTTACTTACTCCCCTGCCCAGGGAGGACGGGTTTCCCGTTCCTTTCTTTATTCTACGGCTCTGTATTATCCTCCTACCTTGGCCGTTCGATTCCCATATCCTACAATACGGGGTCCCTCGTTATTCTTCTGCATCTCTACTCATGATTTAATTTTTTTTGTTCCTTTCAGTTATTTTGGTCTTTTGAAAAAGAAGGAAAATTCTATCCTTTCACTCATGGTTACCTACGTTTAGGTTTAGCGAGAGCTATGGTCCTTCATTGTAGGCAAAACCCCGTGTCTGCTTTACATCTTATATTTTTAAGTGTTACGTGCGGTAGGTACACATGCAGTCCACATCCACGAAGTAGTCTTTGTACACAGCAGATTTTATTTTAAAGGTGTTGTACTTGCTCAGATTTCTAACTGTGCAGAGGAGAGTGCTGAAAGTTCCTTCAAGACTCACCACTTGGGATTTTTTCTGCCCTTCATTGTAACATTGGGTCAATTAATGTTGTGAAGCAAGTTGGAGGCAATCACAAGCTTGAACCCTTTGAACAAAAAGGTCTGAAGATGGAGGGACATTGAAAATGGAGAGTTGTAATTGTAACGAAGTTATAAGGTCCACCTTGGAGGTATCCACAAGTAGGAAAAGTCTGATACGGAGAATGTCATTTCGGGCTAGTTGAAAGTGCAACAACATATGTCGCACTTTAGACGAGACGAGGTGAGAGTCGTTTAGAAGCACCCAATTAGTACTAACTATAAAACCTTGTAGTTGAGAGTGAGTAGGCAGTTAAGTATTTGTATTTTCGATACCAATCTCATTACTATTCGTAATGAACAGTCATTTTAAAAAGGGGACTGCTAGTTATCATCACTTAGGACTAATTAGCTCTTTCTCTAGTATACGCGATTCTCTAATTGCTACTCATCCGAGTAATCTATAACACTGTATATTCTAATGAGAGAAGAGACGGGAATAGAATGAGGACTAATTAGCTCTAATTGAAGGATAACTAGCCGCTCACTATAAAAATTAGTAAGATGTGTTAGTTTTCTCTCTATATATATCTCTATGTTTATAACTTGTAAAGTTCAATTGTTTTGACTAGGGGAGGGAAGGGGAGTAGTTTTATTTTGAAATAATATTTCATTCTTAGTTTGAAATTATAGAAAATGAGATAAATATTTGGAATTTGATACTGAGCATGTATTGTGTTATGTTTCTACATGTATTGTGTTATTAAAAGCATGTGGGTTTAAGTAAAGGTACATACATACAAAGTACATAGTGTCATTGTTGTTGTTTTTTGGTAGCTATGTATTCATATCTTCTCATGGACCGCCAGAACTGTGAGTGATAGACCGAGTGGAGTGTAGAACTCTATGGAGTGTAGAACCTAGCAAATTTGCAAGAGCTTTATGCACCATAGCAGATAGGAATCTCAGGAAATACAAAAGTTATAGATCGGTCGAAGTACAGAAGAATAAATTGTCACAACTTTAAGTTTCTTCTATCCTCTCATCACGAATGAACAAGGAATGTTTTCAACGATTTTCACTTACAATTAGGAATCTTGTCAAAACTAATGATCGACAGAATACGAATCATTTGGAAAATTTGCTTCATCCCCATTCACTGCGTCTCACTGATGCACGAGACAATACAATGCTTGACCGCAAGGCAAGTCAGGCATACAATGAATTATGGCGAAAAAGAACTCGTTGAAAACGATCTTCCTAGTCTGGCATAAACCCACATGACTCTAGCCACCGAGTACGGTAGAGAGAGAAGTCTGACAGTCATTGGCATCCATCCGTCCGTCCCCGTGGGAGTCCTCACCTGACGTGACCTGAACTCCAGTCAACATGCGTTAGTGGGGAGGATAACCACTGAGCTGTATATGGTACGAGCTCATCCCGTACAGTATGTACGCCCAGAAAGTGGGTAGGTCATATTCATTCCACTCTCTCGACTGTATTGTTGTCGGGATTTAGCCTTTCACCGTACTTCCGGACATCACTCCCGCGACTGGGTACCGTCGATCGGACCATCGGACGACTTCATGGCCAGAGGTATCTTGCCCAGGTCATGAGTTACCCTCGGTAATCCATCATGACCGGCTAAACTTCTGACGCAGACCGGCGCGCGGGTCCCATGCCGCCATCCTTCCGATCACAGCCCCTCGTATATTTAGCCCCAGCTACGCCAACGTCGTAGCTGTCGGGAATCCCTCCCTCTCTCCCCCGGATGAACTGCGGTCCAACGTCGCGTGCTCCGGCGTTCGCGAGGCTGAGGAGGAGACTTACGTGGTTTCATGACGTGATCACTGCAGTAGCGAAAACTCGACGATCTCTACTGCACAGTCGACGAGCGTGCTAAGGTCAGGGCCCGAAGACGGGCCGTTCAATTTTCTGTGGCCGACTGTGACCTTCCGTGGTCACTTTGCAGAGATTCTACTGCAGAGGAAAGAGGTGATCAGATGATGAAATTGGTGTTTGAAAGATCGTTTATGACAGGTACCGGCTCAAAGATAGAACTCCTGTTTCATTTCGTTCTACGATTCGATGCCCTCTCGCGTCGAGGTCTGATTTATGCTGCTAATTTTAACTCTGTCGGAAGTACATGAATCACTTTCGGCAGGGTAGAGGCCTGCACTATTGCGTTGACCGATTGTCAAATCTTTCCCTCCAATTCTTCATTCCGGATTGTTGGCCTATTTTCTCTCTGCATAATTTTAGTTGCATAATCATGCAACTAAATATACTTTTCGGGAGATTTTCTGCAAGTTGATCGAATATTTCGCAAGGCTTGGACTATTTTGTGAAATTTGAACATTTGAAGTTTTTGCGTCTTCACCGTCGACGAGGTTGCATGGATGTGAAGGAGTGAAAGGTGGGTGGTAGAGAGAGAGAGAAGCTTTTGTGCTAGAAGGAGTAACTATTGCTATTACCATGATCAGATGAAGTGATGGTGATGAAAGCGAGAGAAAGGCGTCTTTGAAGAATAATAGTCCAAAAGATGGGAGCTAACAATTGGAACAAAACACGTACTTTTGATGTGGCTGGGTGTCAATTATACATGAGGCAATGCTTTCACTTGCTTTCGACCACTCTTTACTCCCAAAAGCCGTGAAAGCAGCAGCTTTGTGTGTGTCTTTTCGAACCAACCATAGTCCAGACCCAGCTCACCTCGACTGGTTCTTTCTCATTTGTGACAAAGCTTGCAGTTTGAGGAACAACAAACTACTGCAAAAGTGGAATCTTCATGATCAGGGTAGCGAGCAACGATTTTCATTGGATGGATGATAGAAATGTGACATTGCATCATTGTGGCCGAGGTTGCCAACCAGATTCGTGGCTTGCATATTGCCAGCTTCCAGTGTGCAGATGCAACGAGGTGTCTCAGTCTTAGATGCCCTGCAATGGGCTTGTCCCTACGGCTGACTACGAGAGCAGACGAATCGAGAGCTACTTGATGCCATTGGAAAAGTTGAGAGAAAGGAGAAACATCACTCGGAGGATTTTGTGCTCACCCTCGGAGTGAATTGGAAGCCAAAAGCCTGTGGTTCAAGAAAAGCTGAATTTCAGACATTTAAGATCCCTACGAGAGAAAATAATTCCTTGGTTCTTGTGCCTTGAAGACTTCACTCATGCTCAGCCTAGACAAAACATATAAGGGAGATTCTCAAATCCTTTTGGAGATCTATGAACAAAGGTGGTGCTTCTTTCCGTAGCCTATTCATCCATAAGCCTGTATCTTCATTGATTACAAGTGAGTGTGTTATCATTTTAGATCCATCGCATGTTTATATGACTCTGTATTCATTCGGATGTCACATGATAGCTACCTATGGTACCAAGCACCACATCCCTAATGGGGTGCTGGCTATGTCCCCAGATCGTGTATATCTCACATGAGTTAGCGATCGTGTATATCTCACATGCCTTCCATCACGCAGACATTTGTTTGGTTTAGATTTAATAGTTTACTTTGCCAAAAATGATGGTTAACATTGCAATTATGGGTTCAAGATTACCGTATTACTATCCCATGCATCCCTTTGAACTGTAGGCTAGTGAAGCTGCAACAACTGGGTACATTTGTAAAGCGCTGTGCATGGAGACCACAAATTTATGTTGTTTTACTTAAGAGTTACATTGAAATATGGCCACAGATTTTGATAAATTCATCAAGAAATGCAAGAAAATCAATTATATTACTTGCCTCATATCATGTTCCTTAGTTAACTCAAAATTCCTCTTAAAGATCCACGGGATAGTGTCAAGGTAACGCGAGGAAGAGCTCATCTTGATGAAATAAACCGTAGTTTAGAATTAGTCAAACGAAGTCAAACGACAAGTCCCATGGTCCACCACAACACAAAAAATACCGAATTTTGAGTTCTGATCTCAAGCTGATCGATTACTCTACTGAATATTCCAGCTGTGTAGAGGAGACCCAGAATAGCTTTCCAGCAACAGACTTGTTATTATAGCTACCGTTTCCACCACAAAAGAGATAGATACTAGTGACCACAACTTTTATCTTTGACCGTCCATCAGCATGCCCTTCGAAAGGAGAAAGTGTCAAATTAGACGTTCACTCCATGGCCGGGTTATACCGTAAGTAGAGTTTCTTCTCTGGCTGACCTTTATATAGAAATACAAACTCAATATATCTCCCTCCCGTTCTAGTCAGGGGTCTAATTGTGTTACGTTGGCTTTGTTGTCATATTCATATTGCTGTTAATACAAGCTACAATTCTGCTGGTACCAAGGCAGGAACCCAATGGCGACTGCATCTGATATGAGCGCGGGTTTCGAGAGCGATGAAAGCGATGGGAACTCCAAAGTTGAATGCAAACTCCAAGAGTGCAATGCACGACTCTCTCGTTACGCTGTTAGAAGGGCTAAGAAGGGGTGGCAGACGAGATAGATAGCAGTCAGTCAGGGCTCGAACTGAATCCACAGATGTACAGCAGATGGATCGACCTCCCAAATCTGAGGCGGAGGAGCAGTTGGTTCCGAACGGATGCATGTGCTGTTCTCTCCTGGAGGGCAGAGGGGCGGACCCACGTCAAGAACAGAGAATCATAAAACAGTAGAAATGCCCAGCTTCGTATTGTACATCGTCTGGTGGTATGGGGCGAAGAGCCGCTTACATACGGAGTGGGACGATGACTGGTCGAGGACTAGTTCGCGTACAGAGGCACGACTGTCCTGTCCGCCGTCGGCGAGGCGAGACACTAAACTCTGAGGAATGTGTCAAAAACATCATCCAGGCTGGGCAGATGTCCAGAAGAAACAACAGGCAGCTGTAGGAGAGCAACCTGGCAGCCAGTGAGTGACTGGCTGCGTGCGTCTTACCTCTCGCCTGGACAAGGTCGAAAGTCGATCTGGAGAATGTGATGTTATCATTAGCATTACACACAAGGCAAGGCAAGGCAAGGCAGAGTAGACCTGCATTCCAATGATGCACAAAATCTATGACTCTAATATTAGAAGGACTCTGCACTGGTTCTACGAAAGGTCGACATAAGCGGCAGCAGTCGTGGAACCCAATGGTACAATCCTTTCCCGTATACTTTTTTGTGTAGCGTCTGTCCGAGATAGATCTCGCTCAGAGCTCGAAGGGTGCTCACCAGAATACCCAAATTCGAGTCGCCCGAGCGCGAGGTAAGAAGTTTCCCGATCTAGACTTCAACCCAGACCGATACGGAGTCAGGATATAACTGCATACGGATTCGGAGGTTTAGCATACTCCATGACTGACAGGTTTAGCATACTCTCTCTCTCCCTCCCCGTCTGTACCCTGAATGGGGTTTGGACCGTGGAGCAGGAGGAGGGTTGTCGAGATAAGCACTGAAGCTCTAAATGTTCAGAGGTTCAGGGTGGTCGGTGCTCAGGGTTTGGACGAACTCGCGCACCCTTGGCGTTTTCGGAGCGAGTGCAAAATCCTCAGAGCTTGCAGACCTCTAAGGCCTATGTGGTGCTGGGAAATCGATACTCATCTCGATAGGCAGGGTTGCGTTCAGTATCTTATCTGTTACTCATAACCTCAGTCTCTCATTGCTTCTGAAGGCAGAGAAACAGAGTGTTGCACGACATTCAGTCGCACGAGCTGTACAGTTCACCATCAAAAAGCCTGTGGCTCCTCCCAGTTGCATCTCTATTTGGGTAAGGTACGTTTACGATAGCCCTTTCCTGCGGCAGCCAGCGTCTGAGGGTCTCTCTCTCTCTGAGACTGAGTGATGCATGGATTCTGGATCAGAGTTGTTATCTGGGTTTAGCTGTTGTAATCTGTTGTAATCACATGCCTGCCTGTAGACAGCTTGGCGCTTCGAAACGCATGACTTCAGGGTAGGTGGATTCACACACTCAGAGACGATCTATGCTGCAGAACGCTAGGTCTCTCAGCAAATTTTCCCTCACTGTGGTCCAACATTTCGATTCCACGAGTTCTCTGCCTCCACACCGGAGCCACATAAACCCGTCGGGACATTTGAGTCTCGTATCTTTTCCCATCGAAGGGCCGAAATAAATTCTCATCATTAATCTGACCGGCAGCTATCCACCTGCAGTCTTTGCATATTCGCCCTTCAAAGTGAGCACTACTGTGCCCACGAGCAAATTTGATGAGAAAGGAAGGAATGCAGCACGCATGCATGAGCGCACACGGTTCCGAAGGTTTGTTGGAAGAGCCGTCAGAAGAAAGTGTGGAATCGGTAGGACCTAGAGGGGAGTTATTGGGAATAATGGCTGCCTGTGGTTCATGACGTGAGTTCAAATTTCATGCATTAAAGGGCCGACGATGGGAACAGAAGGCAGTCCAAAAGCTTGTCTGTCCAGTTGGCAGGCGGTGCTTGCAGGTGGTGGAGACACTTTGGGCTGCCAACCACAGGAGCATAAAAGCGCACATGACACCCAGCCCCATGATCTTACTCCATGTGCCAAACAGTCTCTTATTATACATATACTCCAAGCACTCTTCCAAGCGAGGATTTCCCCGCTGCCATCAGCGTTGGCGATCAAAATTTCTGCTGCTTTTCACGTGGGCCACAAGTGAGCGTGAGCTTATGTCCTCCCTTCACGCTGTGTTGCAAACATCGATCTCCCCTTTCCCGAGGAGCCTCACCCAAAGGCTCTACGCTTCGTTCGTTCATACACCTGTCGTGAACCTCGATCCCGGAGAGACTTTGTGGCACCTTTCCGCTTGACAGGGAAGGTCGCCTTTCTGTCCCATTCAGCCCCACTCGGTCCGACCCAAGTTTCTACCACCGTCCCATAGCCAGCTCTTCAAGTACGGCAGTTCTAGCCTCGATGAAGGTTTCAGCTCAGTTTAGTGTAAGGCTTGTGAGCAGGAACTTCCAGCGCTTGACTCGATCGAACTCGATATCCATTGACAGCCTATCGGACATCGATTGTCTACTGGGTCCGACGTGATGTAGAGGGACCACGTCTGATCGTCGAGAAAGGTCTTCTGAACTGGAGGAGATGACTCCCCGAAATGAGGTCACAAGGTCCTCCATCACTTGCTTCACTACCCAGAGCCTGGACTTCCCTCAACTGACCGATCGGAATACGAAAATTGGCACACTGCATCTTGGCTCTCGTCACTGCACACGTCTCGCGCTTGACTCGATTTCATTGGACAGCGAAACTAAGTAAGATGTTCTCGTGGCAGACCTTTTCATGATAGAGGAAAAGGTTGGCGACGCCATTGTATACAAGAGATCTGATTCTACCAGTTTCGAGCAGATGATCATTCGGTACAGAATTCAAGACTACTGAAGTACAGCCTGGTAGACCGCCCCATGTGCTAATTAACTGCTCTTCGTAGGAGGGTGCCAGGTGAAAGAGTGTCTTCGAGGGAAAAAAGAACTGCAAAGCGGCGTCCTGGAAGTCTGTGATGGTCATTTGCATGTCTAGCTGTGCCGGAATATGTGCACAAAGCTTCCAGGACGTCGAAGGAAGAGCGAGCATGTTTTGCACCAGGTGCCCCTAGTTTCCACTTCTGTTGCCTTCGTAGGTTCTCGGTGTCCATTTTATGATGCTCTCACCCACTGACGGGGTCCCTCACCTACTCAGCCGCGTGAATAGTTGGAGTCAATCATTGCCCGGAGATAGATGTGCAGATTTACAAATTGAAAGTAATCTAGAGTCAGAGTTTGATACGGGGCATAAAGCGCCTTTTTTGTATTGTAGAAGACGACTGGAAGGTCTCTGTTTCGTAGCTGCCGACTCCAAGGCCTCACATCCTGCATAGCCTCCAAATTCCATGCAGCATGTAGTTCTCTGATGCTGAGTTTCTTCTGTGTCTGGGCGAAGTGAGATTGGAGGGCGGAAGATTCAGCAGCAATTGGCAAGCAATGGGCGAGTGCGTCCGAGCATTTCATTCTCCCGAGTGCGTCACAGCAACAGTTCTGGGTGGGCCACCACAATGTTCTCAGATATTCATATCTAGTCATGGCAGAACGACCAACTGCATCCATCCCTAGCTAGCTAGCTAGCCACTGGCATCACTCAATCCTGTGTACAATCGCAAGTGATTGGCAGCAACTTCCAGCATTCTTACACGGGGGACGGGCATCAACACACATGACGGGTTGGGAGGTAGCCCAAGAGTTTATTGCCCTGTGTCATTTGTTACGCCTGAACAGAATATGCGTCGTTGGTTTGTACCATTGCTTGATCGGTCGCGTCTGTGTACTTCCTGCACTTGCCAAAAGCATCTCGTCAGTTCAGGACGAACCACTCAAACATGGATGATTGACCATGCAGCCAGTCCACAGTATCTTTGCAGCTGGGTAGACCTTATTTGCACAAAGGTGCACCAGTCACTGCCTCTACCATTGGCTGCCATGACGCACCAAAGAAGTAAGATGTAAGGTATGAAGCCCATCACGTATGGAAATTTGTAGAGATGAATCTAGCGTGAAGCAACAGATACGACCTTGCACTGTTGTTGCAGTGAATTTGGGTTCACGTCCAGATTTTCTTTCGAGGGGATCTTCCCTATTTCAATGTGCTTACACTTATCACCAAATTTTTCCTTCCTATAAATATGTATGAGTTTACTTCGCGCAAAATTTTATAAAGCTTGAACTCCTCATGAGCCACCAGTTCATGGACTGCTGAAGAATCGTGAATACTTGCTGATGCCGGCCATCAGGAGATAAAGCTCATTCCAGTAAAACTAAAGGAAGAAATCTGATGACTACGTAGACATCAAAGTGAGGAAAAAGATCGCAGTCCTACAGGCAATTGTAGACATTAAGACAGTAAATGGGTAAACAACGAATGTGCAAGGACCAGCTAAAAACATATACCATTGTCACTGAGCCGCCCTTGAGGTCAGTAATAAGCCAGTGTCTGGAGGGGACCCAAAGCCGAGTCAATTGCTCCAGTTCGCTCCATATATACTTCGAGAAATGAGTTGAGTCGTACAAAAGGATCGAACGATCTCAAGGTATGAGCATCTTCTGTCACTCCAAGTCGAGTGGCTATCAAGTTGCATGCATGCCATGCCAATGGTCGACATGTTGACATTCTTTTAATTTGCATAACTGTGTGCAGGGATTTGACTGTCCTAACACTTCGGTACCATGGTGCCCCACAATCGTAAGAAAATGTCAGTATCGGAGCACTTGCACTGCTTCTTCCGGCCATCACGGTCAGTTGAGTGAGACAGCAGGCTTGCGTTTGCGTCACAGAGGAGCATCTCCTACAAGCAAATGCTCCAATGTTCACATGTTGGCCCACTCCCTGGTTGAAGCAAGCATTTCTACTGCTACCTCATTAGAAATGTGGAGACATGATTGTTGTGAGTAGTATGTAAACGTTTTGGTAGCGCTGTGATAAATAGGAGTGTTGTACTATACAGGAGTGTTGTACTATGCGGGCCAAAGATTTATTATCCATTATTTTGTCAAATTGTTTTTCTTACCAAGTGCCATATCTGAGAGGTGTTTTACACAAAGTCTTGTGTTACGTCGAGGTACCTACTGCATGGATCCAAATTTCTCAAAGGGCCCTTCATATCGCAAAGTGCATGATCTCAAGCGGTTGTAACACATATCTACATCTTACCAGAGTAGGTCAACTTCTCTATCTTCAGGTTTGGACCTTTTTCGATACTTGCGACGAGGAATGTTGCATGGACTATCGGGTTGCTTAGATCCAGTATCCAGCTCTGTAGTGAATCGACCTATCTAGCATGATTTGGAAGCTGGGCTAATGTTAAGCGCATGTGTGATGGTCCTATGTAATTGGACCATCAGGTCCAAAGGCAAGGTATGTACGTCAACAATCCAGACTAACGAGAATCACGTTGAGGAAGAGGAGGCGAAGAACCATAAGCTTTCAAATGAAACAGAAAAATAATCACAGAGATAAAGACCTGCTGACATGTGTGCAACTTGTCGACCCTCTTTCTAAAAGACGCAAGAAATGCCCCAGACAGCCAGGAGAAGAAGAAACCATGGTCTAGGATGGGAGACTTTCAGAAGATTCTCAGCCTACTTTTCTACGGTCGAGTCCAGCGAGAGTTGCGTATCTAACACCCTGATTTCCAATTACCTCATACCTTCTGACAAGCCCTGATGATCACCTTGAAATAGGAATCCTCTAGATTGGCTTCTCACTTTATGAGTTTAGTCTCGTGTACGAAACCAATCAATAAGAATTAGACCATAGGTATTTAGGAATTTGAAGAATATGCAGCTCACCCGATACGTCTTTACTACTTATTGAGTTCACCACCTGATCCAGGTTCGAGTAGCTTCTTAGCTACCACTCGAGAGCTGAATACTCAGCAGATCTGCAACAGCTGATCCTTGAACCTTGGGTGGAAGTTAGCGAAGAAGTTGAACTGTTTCACATTAATATAATCCTTTCCCTTCAAACATGCAGAATATATCCTTCCAACAACAAATTATCGAGCATTCCGGAATGTCCATCGTCTCTGCATTATTACTCGCCTTCTCATTATGCTCAGAGTCAGACACTTTACTTTTGGTGATAATGAACGACTGTCCGAAGCAAATCCGATATATACCCCTCCCAAACTGACTTGTGACACAAGGAATCGTGAAACGTCGGGTAGATAGAACCTACGACCTCGAGACGGCTAGACAATTGGAAATCAAGAGTAGGGCCATCATCATTCAAAAGATCCATGTGCAACCAATCGCATTCGACATCGCGATTGACCCGGTCAAGCAGCTGCAGCATGAGCTTTCATCTCAACTGCTGCTGGCGCAGTATATATTGTTACCAGAGGAGAAACTTTATATGGAAAAGGTGCACTAACGAAGCAAGTTACCCGAATATAACTGGCGTCATGGCCATGCAAGGTAGAAATGGCCAATTCGTTCAGCTCCTGAGACTTGTAAAAAATTGCTGTGGACGGATTATTCACCTACTCGCTGACTGCACATATATACATCTACCATCCTGTTCAGGCGTCTTCCGAATGCATCTTGTGACTGTGGGTTTGAAAGTAAATGGCAAGAGTTGATGAAACAGAGTTCGCATTACATCCCCACCAAACCTTGCATCGTCTTGCATCGTACATTTGTGTGGTCACGGGGTGAAGGCCTGGGTGTGTACAGTTGATGAAGAGAAAGGGACGGAGGGCGTGAATGAACGCAATCGAAATCGACAGCGTGGGAACATAAACCTCAAAGTTGCTGGACGCAAGCACAGATGAGGAGAAACAAGAGGCTCAGAGTTTTCTTTCGTCTACAATTACTGTGACCAGCAGCACTGCAAGTGAGTACGAGTAGTAAGTATGGATCTGAGTGAGTTCTCGTCACAGCACATGACAGGGAGTCGACCTGGAGGAGGCGAGGTGATGATTAGAAGCTCAACAAAGTCTATACCTGCCTGCAAGATCTCATGATTAAAAGTAACTAACGAAACAGCCCAGAGCATATTCATTCGTTCATTCGTAGTTCCGTGAGACCGGATGCAGCATTTGGCTCTTGCTTGATCCGAGTGAATCTCAAATGATGAAAATCGGTCTGCTCTCAGGACGTGGTCCGCTTCTGCTCAGAAGGACAGCTCAGCTCACTTTCTGTTGTGTTTTCTGGTTCCAGCCTTGACCTTGACCTGACCTTCTAGCAGGTTGGAGTTCAAAGCCTGATCCGGCCCACTTGTAGCTCATCCTAGAAAGGAACCAGAAAATTGTCCGAGGAATTGGAAGAAGTCACCTCAATCGAGTCAAGGTTACAGACTGAATCGTGAAGTTGAAATTATTCGATGCCTGTAAATGAGTGCACCCCGATGGGGCGTACCGTGATACAGACAATAAATAGTTGAAGGGGAAGGTACTACAAAACCACGACTAGAGGCAACATGCGGAGGATCTCCTTCCCCTTCTCTCTGGTTTCGTTGAGGCCCCCTCGGCCTCAACATAACGACCGAGCCCAGACTCGTCCAAACCTGCAGAAGGAGATCACTGCAGCTGCTCGATGCAAGCCATCATCCGGCCGATCGAGCTTATCCTCAATACACAGGCAATTCGACGGCCAGTGAGTCTGATCTCTTCCGTGCAATGATGAGTTTATCGATGAAAGCCAGCAGCCCTGCAAGATTCCACCGAATATCTTTCGGCCCGAAGCACAGAACACATTGGAGCCACACACAGCAACGAGATCTTCACAGTGAAAATAAATAAAGAGCTGCACAATGTCTTTCAGCAACTTTACGCGCGAGCTCACTCATTCTCACCCTAGGCTACGACCAAATCAGAGCTTTTCATTCTCTGTCCTTGACCTGGCCTCAGTTCCGATGGAAGACAAAATTACAAACCTAACATATTAAATCGTCAACCTTCTCGGGACGCGCGTCAGTGGTTGTCTATCTCGAGGCGCTCCTTCACTCCGTCCCAAAAATGCAGTCAGAGGTTGAAACTCGAAGCAACATACAACTCGAGTGACTCGAGAATCCGAGTCCCTTCTATGCATGATGCATCCATCGAATCCTCAGACCGCCTGCAGGGCTTGCGTAGAACCGTTTTTGTGCAAATCCATGGCGGAACGGCCGAGGTGTCTAGAGAACCGCACTTCGGTTGCGGAAGGCCGTCACTTTCAGGCCTACCACAAAAGGAGCTGCTGCTGCTGCTGCTCGACGAATCGTTGTTTGATCAAGGCCATTGTTCTGTGCTGCGTCACTCGTTAACGAGTTCAGAGTGTGTGTCACTGCGAGCTGCTCGTCAGTCGGTTGCTTGGCGGCCTTCGTTCAGTGCAGATGAGTTGTCTGTGGATATGCTCGTCAGTTCGTCACCTTGGGAAGCTCAAGAGCTCTCGAGCGTAAAGTGAACGTGAAGTGCCCACAGCAAGTCGAGTCGAACTTCTCGCTCTCTCAGTGGGCTACACTATCCACAGAGAGTACATTTGAAGGTCCTAAACTGTACATGCCTCGACCTTAATTGGCTTCAATCACAGTGAAACTTTTTGCTGGTGATCTTTTTTATTTCACTGAAAGGTCGACCAGTCAACGGAAGCCAGGTCATGGTCGAGCACAGGACGTTCGTTCTATTGGAAGCAGTCTCTTAAAAAGCTATGTTTTACTCGTAAGCAAACGTAGCCCAAAGATTAAGAAATGTTTCAAGGAACCTGAGGCGCTCAATATAGTTGACACTTTGTGACTAATATCATCCCTCAAGAGTAAGGAAGATGTGTGTCGTTGAAAACTTGGTCACACTAACTTGACTAACCCCACACGCTGGGCATAGATTTCGGAACTTTAGAGCCATCTTCAGTGAGCATTAGAATTCATACCAGGCTCGCTGTAGACGGCTCAATTTAAAGGTGACCTGTTTCTCTTTGGGCTTTTGTGCACTCTGCCTACTCCTCAGGTTTCCATGGGGGTCAGGAAAGTGAGAGGCATTCTGCAGCCGCTGAAAGACGCAAGTCTCGGTCGCTAGAGTATTATTGCGATCTGATTCCAACACTACAAAGCTTTTTCCAAACTTCTCTCTGTTCCATTCTGCATGCATGCATACCTTCTGTGCACATTCTGTAGATTCATTGCCATTCCCCCGAGGTATATGCCATCATCACATTCTAGGGTGTTAAGAATATGAGCCGGGATATGTTCGTGATAGCCTCATAGCGTTAAGCAATATTATTGTGCATCACAAGAACAGTAGAATCGATCCGCTAGTTAGGCCTGCTCCGCCTACTGGCAGGCACACCATCTGCCCTTCAGGTTTCTATACCTTCATTTATCTCAGTCCGAGCTTCGCTTTACAACTGAAGCTCATGTATGAGTCTGAACCTGATCCTTCGAGACATTTGACAGAACGTGATCATGGACACGACTCACGACAACTTTGACATAATTTGTTATTTGTGTGAGTAATAACCTCCCTCGAGGTCAGGCCACTTGTAACTGGTCTGAACTGGTTCACGAAACCATGAGAGACGGGAGGAAAAAGTTGACTTCAGTTGACTTGACTGCTGGAAGAGGAGAACTTTGGAAAGTCTCATAAGCAGCGAAAAGGTTAACTGTTCTCCCACAGATCCTTCCACTGAAGACTCGGATTGAGCTTTGCAAGTCTTCTGGCTTTTTAGCCATGTGCATCAGAAAACTAGAGGCCATCTCCACTCAGAAGTACACCGAAACGAAACTTCTCACCTCGAACAAGGTAACGAGAAAAAGTAGCAATGGGGATTTGAGCAAAGTGAGGCACCTTAGACACAACCAACCGTGGCTGTCACTACCTACCTAGCTACCTGGAGTGAAGCTTCAGGGAGGCTAAGCACTTTCACGACATTCACCATCAATCACACAACTACAACTCACACACCTCAACACATATTTTATTACTTCATGCAGGGCCAGATGGAAGACATGACTAGGACTTTACCGAATTTGATTCCCAAAAGGTTTGTCTCTTCCATTGCCCGTGCCCAAACTCTAAACTTCGAACCATCCCAAACGCAAGATTTTGATCGTGACACGGTGGAATGAAGATGAGCACTTGTAGAATGTAAATTGTCAAAATCGATGCTCAACAGAGCCTCAGATGACGATCAAATAGCCGCGCCAGTCTGAAAACAAATGGAAACTTTCGCCTCTGGCGTGGCCTGATGCTGATCTCTTGAAGGCTGTTGCTCTCGAAACAGATGATACTCGTGAGCTGATTCTTGCACATGGGGCAGATGGCCTTGATCTTCACCCACGTCACGAGGCAATCGAAGCAGAAGACGTGGTCACAAGCGTGGAGAAAGGCTCTTCTCTCCTTGACTTTCTCTAGGCAGATCGGACATTCTTCGAAGGAAGTTCCTTCCACAGCTCCGCCACACGCTGACATCGATGCCTCTGAAGCCATGCCTCCTCGCTTGTCTTGTCTTCTCCTCTCAAGTGCAGCTCCCGGAGTGAGTGACCTTCATGACGTCGAAGAAGAGAGTCGTCGTGCCACCATCCCTTCCTGCTCCGGTGAGCAAGAGAAGTGAAGTCTGCAGGCGAAGCGCAGAGGCGAGATTCGGCTCCACTGCACTGGAATGGGCGGAGCAGGGAGGCTCGAGCTGGCTCTACTCCGTTCAGGCAGAGAGACCGTTTCATGCTCGCCGGTGCTTCGTTGCCGAGATGCGCTGCATTCAAATCGCATTGGCTCGAGGTCCATTCGCAGGAATTTGATTTCTCAAAGGTACGTTGCCGAGTTTGAAGACCAGCGCACGAGAAGTGTCAGCTCGGCTCTTCGCCCGCTGCCGACGACAGAGCCAGCTCGAGGTGACACGCCCTCGCTTTCTGCTTTGTTGAGAGAGAGACTGGATCGTGAATTCTCCATAGGCCGAAGAAGTTAATCTGATACGTATCTGCAGTTGCGTAGAGTTCACCTCGAGCGATCCATTCGCGCGTTTGAGCTTCTGAGACAGGCTGCAGAAACTGTCCAAATCTTCGTGTGGCATGGGGCCCGTGGACTACCGACGGGTCGGGCTCCAGTTTGCATGAACTGGAGAAAATTGTCATTTTGCAAAGACTTGAAGGCACTCTTCTGCATCTGCAGCTTTTAGCTTTTAGAGCCTGACGGAAGCTTACCCTCCGAAGCTGCCGTAGCACAACAGAGCGTGTCGAGGTTGGCAGCTTGTGACCTGATGGTTTATACTCTGCCCCGTTATGATCATGCTGCCGAGCTTCCGTTCTACAGCAAGGTATCGAAATTCACGTCTTTCGTGCTCTGCACTCTAATTTCTCGTGCAATTGCCGCCAAATCTAGAAACTTTTTCAGTGGTTGCGAATCCGGCGAAGCCTTGGGACTTGCAAGTGACGGTGCTTGAGTGGACTCCCTTCCCTCACTCGCCTTCCCTTCTCGTCGTCTATGGCACGGTGCATCATCCTTGAGATCGAGAAACTTGATCGAGCACTTCGCAAGGAGACCTTAGAATTCGACGGAGATTATCCCCACGGCCTCAGCCTTCCTCACAGGTTCTAACTCCGAGGCTCTTCTGCATGACTGTGATCTCACCTAACCACGATGCAGTTGTTGTCACCCATATCTCGAGGTGTTTCCTACTCCCACGAGCATGAGCGCATGCGTTGCCCACCCTTTTCTCAAAGGATATGATAATATTTTGCATTCAGACTCATCGACGAGAGAGGGGAGTAGCAGCCAAGTGGATAGCAGAAAGAAAAAAGATGGCGGGGAGTACGAGAGCATGTGTTTGCTAAGAGATTACTGATTTGAGGACAACGCTTGAATCCTTTGGAATGTTTGAAGGATTGACTGTGACATAACTCACACTTGCAGGGCCTCAGTATATGGCAGCCAACAACGTTGTTTTCTAAGAAGAGAACATCGCCGGAAAGATTGTCAGTAAAGAATACACTTCTTTACTGACAGGAGACAGAGTATTGTACCATAGCTCTAGAAACACTAGCCATGACCGAAGGTAAAGACAGAGTTGGTCAAAATGAATCTCTTGGTATATGAAGCAACGATGTTTGTTCGATAATGGATCTGCAAGGTCCGGAGGCTCGGGTGAATCCACAGTTGTTTGTAAGAGAATGATTGAAACTTGCGTCAGTGAGAGTGGATGTGTAGATTTTTTGCGTGCTTTATTTTACTCTAATGCTCCAAAGGTACTAAAAGAGAAGGATATGTAAAGAGTAACACATGTATATAGTAGGTTTAGTAAGAATATTTTTACGGAATGTTAAAACGACCACATACAGCGAATATGTAAAAAATTGACATATTGAGTAGATCTATAGAAAGTAGACATTATCGGGCCAATAGCAGGTAAGATTTGGTTGGTATGGATGCCAAGGAAGCTACCAGGTGCGAAGAGCGCACCCAGGGTCCTTTGACAAGCACTCCAAATCGTTTTATATCATGATGGGAGGGAGGATGGAGAGGCCTCCAAAATGAACCTGGGAGTGATCTAGTAGCCATTTTTTGCTAGCAACGGCTGGGTCCATGGTAGTATAACCTCTAATTTTTTTTAAACATCTTTATGATAATTTATCATGGTTTTAAATATTAACATTATTTTTCATATTTATATTAAATATTTTTTCGCACACTTATTTAATTTATGAATCATATACACAATGATACTTTAAGTTGAAAATTGTCATTCTTTCATATTTAAAATGAATATTTACATATAAAATCTTTAAATTTGTTGGAAAATCTATTTTTAATTCTATATATGTATTATTTGAAAATAACAACAAATTTTAATTTTTATGTTATTTGATTTTATTAAAAGATTAGATTTCTATATAAAATAAAAATTCTTATTCAAATTTTTTAGTTATTCCGTAAAAAAAACATTATAGATAAATATAATTATAATATAAATTAAGTCATTACAATTAACTAAATCTAGTCATAACTAAATTAATCATGATTAATTCCTTGGTTAATTTTAGTTCTATTTAACATATGGTCTTACAACCTGCCACGTGTACCCTTTGATTGACAGGAGAGTGATGTCGTGTAACCATCTTTAGTTAGTAAAAATTAAAGTAGAGTTTACTCTAAATGTTGATATATATACATTAGCGTGCACTAGTCATAGTTGTCACGTGAGCTATCCACGCGCTTGGTAGGTAGAGTGTAGATGTGTTAGTTGACAATGCCACATTAGCGATCATGTGTTTGTTAGGTAAGGATTGAGTGTGTTAGTTGGGAGCGTCACGTCAGCGATCCGTGTGCTTGTTAAGGCTATCCGTCACGTCATTCATCCACTATGAGTGAGATGGATGGTGGGAATCAGATCTTATCTCCTTGTACTTGTTGGTGAGAGCTATGTAAGGGAGAGCATAACCTTTATTGGTATCTTTCATCTTCAGAGTTTAAATTTTTATCTTCGAGTGAATTTCTCTCTAAATTCTAGTGTTACATGTGGTTGCACCTAACGCGCGTCACTCTGGTCGCGATCCGAGAAGATTGGTGTAACACTAGGGTTTAGAGAGAAGTTCACTCGAAGATAAAAAAGTAAACTCTGAAGATAAGAGATACCAACGATGGTTCTACTCTTCCTTATATAGCTTTCATCAACAAGTACAATGAAATAATATATTATTTCCACCATACATACCACTCCTAGTGGATGTATGATGTGGCGGATAACTCTAACGAGCATAAGGATTGCAGATGTGGCGTTTCCAACTAACACACTCAATCTTTATCTAACAAGCACACGGATCGCTAACGTGAAACTTTCAAATAGCACACCTATTTTTTACCTATCAAGCGCGCGGATCGTTGGCGTGACAGCTACAAATAGTGCACGCTAAAGTATCTAAATCAACATTTAGATTAACCTTTATTTTAGTTCTAACTAACTAAAGATGGTTACAATTGGTCATGCAAAAAAAAACCAGCTTGCTCCGCAAGAATAGAAGAAATACGCGCGTCGCTTGGTCTGATCTGATGGTTGGGGAATGGAGCAAATGCACGAACAAATGACAATCGATTGATCGCAATTTTCATAACGTAACTTTTGTATTGGTTTCTTGAAGTACTTCATTATTATTTTTAATCTATTCGGATTTGAAGTACTTCAGATTTTGTCGAACCACCGTTTGACGCCTAAACTCACGTTCAAAGTTCGTGCGGCTGCGCGCATCTATGATTACTGTAGATCAATGTTCAATTCTTGTGTCTTGGATCATCCAAATCTGATTCTCCTCCGCGCTTGATCTTGCCACTGCCTGGCAACTTTTCTACTATATCATTTGAACTCATTACTTTTACTTGTTCCTGGTGTTGGGTATATAAACCGCAAGGCCTCTGCTTTCAGTTGTTAGTAATTTCTCTCGCTTGTTCAAACCGTGAACGTAGACTTCTGAAAGATGAACCAAGTCATCTTTCAGAAGTCTCGTCTACTCGTGCTTGTGTCTTGTGGCTTTCAGTTTACCTATAACACAAACCATAGATTTAAAAATGTAATATGGAAAAAAAATTAAGACACATGACTCATTTGATAAAATTGTTAAAACAAAAATTTATTATTGAATATCTTTCTCGTTCATGCTACTTGAATATTAACATGGCATACAACATGAAAAATTTAAAATCAAATATATAATACAATGTATCATGAAAATATTAAAAGGTTTAAATTTGGACTTTTCTTTTTGAATTTTACCTTTTTCCATATTAACGATATTTTATATTTCAACATTAACTCTTGTACAGAGTACAAGAGAGTACTTCAAATATATTCAAAAAAAATCAGATAAAATTTTTTTCACTTTCCAATAAAACACATTATGATTTAGTATATGCATGATCTCAAGATGTTTCACATAAAATTGAAAATTATTAAGTCAAAAGAAATTAAGAAAAAATATCAATTTCTATTCATTTAAAAAAAATTCAAACATCTATCATATAAATCATCATGATTTATACTCACATTGTTTAAATTAGATTATTTTCCAAATTAATTCAATTAACATGACTTGATTGTGTAAACATGTATACTTTGAGATAATAAAAATAAATAAATAAGATGGTATGTCAATTGTTTTTATTAAATTTTTCCATGTAATACGTTATTTATCATTATAATGATATTTTGAAATAGCAACCAATTAACTTGATAGTTTGATTTATATGCTATACTATAAAAGTGTGTTACATTCGATTGTGTTATTCAAATAAGTATTATGATGATTGACTAGTAAATTGAAGTATGAAAGCATATTTAATTTGATAAATTTCTTCATTCAAAGCATAATATATATATTTATATTTATAATTGAAGCAAATTTAAACAAATGAAGGTCTATTTACAAAGTATAAGTTTCTAATAGTAATAGACATTGTTATTGGAATTGGACGTCAACCGTGAGAGGTGTCACTCACAAAGATAAACATCTCATGGAAAGTTTCATTGATCTCATAAAATTATGTAAATGCATTGTTAGGTTCAAGATTGTATTCATTCATCAACATTGTCATTTTCAAAACTACAATGTCGATAATATTAGCAATTTCAAGTCTATATTGGAATATCATAACCAAAATAGTGCTACCAAATCAGATGACGATGATGTTGTTTAAATTCCAACTCTAGAGCTCAAAAAAAAATCTAATCTATCAATCATTAATTTCATCAACTTTTCCTCTCTTGAATTGTTTTAATCTACAAAATTTCAAAGAACTTGCTCTTCAAATTCGAAAGAGCTCATTATCCATTATCTATCGACAAAAAATTGAAAAAGTTTGTTCGTTGAAACAATGTACCTTAGAATATCTAGCAAGATATCTAACTGCAGTCGAGAAAGACTGGACTTAAGTAGACGTCTAAATAAACATGTCACATTATACTTTTTCACAACTCTTTCAAACCAGATATGTAAGAACTAACTATTTTACCTAACTGTTGATAACCTATCACTTCGTTGGCTTCCAATCCCCTCTACGCTCTAGCAATTCTAATTTTGTTCACTTCGTGTTATGAATCTTCCAATCTATATAAACGCGAAGTCATTGTTTTACTCTAGCTCGCAAACCAACATTTGTAATCTGTTTGAGATGTCTCATGGTCGCCTCTGTCTCCGCCAATTACGCTTGAGCCGCGGCCAACTGCTCCTCAGCTGTCGACAGTTGGAATTGCAACTTTCTGCAATCTGCATCCAACCCTCTTCCGCACTCCAATTCTAAAGATCTGTCAGCCTCGCAATTAGCTAATCAATTCTTCCAACAAGCTACTTTGGCAGCCACAAACCGCTCATGTGAAGCCAAATGTGCTGGCGGCTCCTCCGCGCGCTAAAATTTTCTCTGAAACATTGCACAAGACTCCTCCAATTCGTCTTGAAGTTCTTCCTTCGTAATCTGAGCTGTGCAAACTTCAACCCGAAAGGCATTGCACTTTAGTTCTTGCTGCCTACAAAGTCTACTCTCAGCAACTAACTCTCGCCAAAGTTCTTCATACTCCAACTTCTTCGTCTGAAGTTGCTCTTCCCGCTCTTGCAAGGTTGCTATCATGGTCACACACTCGGAAGTCAAGCTTGCAACTCGTTCTGTCACCCCAATGGTTGCGGTCGTCTTGGCCTTCGTCGTGTAAGACCTGATGTTGTATGTGTGAATTAGAACTAGAATTAGCCAAGGAGTTAATCATGGTTATGATAGTTATGACTAATTCTAGCTAGTTATGATTAAGTCTAGCTAATTTAGCTATGATGTCTATACTTGGCCAAATAACTAGAGAAGTTCTAGAAGATTTGAGTAAGCACTTCTATTTTGTCTTGTACAAAAATCTAGATTCCAAGAAAAAAGACTTTTTGACTTCATGTTTAGTTTTGATTGGTTTGACTAAAGTATGGAATACTCTATTGGTTAGACTAAGTCTAATGTTGACTTAGTGGAAAGTGAAAGTTCTAGAAGTTGGAAAGGCACAAATGGCATGTCGCCACCTCAATCTACGGATTACTAAACATCTAGAAGTTTTAGAAGTCCAATGGCATGTTGCCACATATTGATAACTAGTCAACTTAACTATGATTTATCTTTGTAAAAGTAAGTTAGATAGAAATTACCATTTGTTACTATGGTAAATTTTCAAGTAGTATATATAGAGAGGTAGTGAAGAGACTCTTAGGCAAGTTTGGAGAGTTCATATGTAGGGACTTGTTTCATATATGAAACAGTGACGAATTTTCAGTACCTTGGAGTGTCAATGAGTGTGTGAGTTGGAGTGATACCTTGAGAGTTTGTGTGAGAGGGTGTTTGAGCTACGAGTA